GGGGGGGGGGGGGCAGTACCAGCAGTGCCAGTTGATTTATAGTTGGACATGTTTTTGCACGAGGGGGCACTTGGCTTTCCCCGGGGGGGGGGTGGCAGTGCCCTCCCGGAGATATAGCTGAAAGAAACCCTGACTGTGATCGAGAACGGGTGAACAACCTGATGTTCCAATGGCTTGAATAATGAGATGTCTTTATGGGTAAGTTTAACATACAAACTGGCCGGGCCGTGTTCGCTTACGGCGTGTTTACAAAAACATGTCCGGGACTGTCCCCGAGAGAAGACAACCCGTACGGCTAAACGTGATTTTATGGGAAAGTAATTAACCGTATTGCCCTTTTGTTAAGGAGACCCCACCTTGTCCTTTTTAAGGTTAATAACACACCTGTCAACCGTCCATAAAAATGCGTTGCGCACTTGCTTCGTCTGCATTGAGACGTAAATGGATAACAATCAATCGAAACCGTGGGCGTAGGTAATAAACTAACGAGCGTTGTCTGATGTCCGGGAACAGGCAGGTATGTCTTTTACGGCAGTTCGGCTGGGTGCTCCAGGTGTCCAAACGATGTGAGCGTAGACTAAGGCTGGTTGTGCTCCAAGTGTCGGTACCATGTAAGCGTAGACTTTATGGACGCACGACATAGACTGGCGGAGCAACAAAAGGAGGGGGGGGGTGAGACGTGTTGTCATTCAGACAATCAAAGGACGCAGGTTTGTTGTGTCCAATACCTTGTTTAAAAAAAACAATTTAAAAAAAACTTTGTTAAAGTGCTAGCCGCCATTGGTATGGATTGTCTGACAGTTGGTTGGGGGGGCAGAGGGTGGAGGTGGGGTGGGGGGTGGGATGACTATTCAAATGGTCGTGTCTTTAGTGGCAGGAAGGGGGCTCTGGTGGTGGTCCGCCCCCCCCCCCCGCTGATACTTTTTTTTTTTTCTTTATAGAAGGGCGACATTTTTGGTGAACTGCAGAGTTTCTAGCGAGGACCGGGACACCGAACATGTCGGCTGTCTGTAGGCGGGAACATTAAGGTTACCGGAAATTAGTTTGAAAGCAATTTGTCCCACCGAAAAAATTTTTTAAAGAAATTTAGGTCGAATGGAATTTTGTTCAAAAATTGAAAATGTAATCATAATTTAGCAATCTTGTTATTTGAAACAAATGGAGAACTCAGTAAAATTATATGGAAAAAAAAACAGTAAAAAGTAAAAATGAATTCACACTTTCCATAAGTTTGCTATCTTTTCAAAGTTTTGTTCCGGTTATAACATAAACTTGTTTTTCTAATTTTTTTTTTTTATTTTTATTTTTCATTTACATGTTTTATGACGCCAAAACAAATACAAGAAATACAATGATGAAATATCTCATTGAACTATTATAAATTAGTAATTTAATATGCATGCCCAAAATTACATTTATCTGTATATGTGTGTGCGCCCGTGAGATATATATATATATATATATATATACACACATATATATATATATATATATATATATATATATATATATATATATATATATATATATATATATATATATATATATATATATATATATATGAGAGAGAGAGAAAAGAGAGAGAATATGTGTGTGTGTGAGAGAGCGTCGTCCGTCGAGAGAGAGAGAGAGAGAGGAGAGAGAGAGGAGCGAGAGAGTAAATATATATATATGTATATGTATGTGTGTGCGCTAGATATATATATATATATATATATATATACACATATATATATATATATATATATATATATATATATATACATATATATATACATATATATGTATAAATGTATTTATCTATTTATATAAGAGAGAGGGAGAAAAGAGAGAGAATATGTGTGCCTGTAAGAGAGTCCCCTGTTCCGAAAGAGAGAGAGAGAGAGGAGATAGAGAGTTGCGAGAGAAAGAGTGTGTGCATATGAGAAAGAGTCCATTTTATCCCGAAAGAGAGGACATGGCAGAGAGTCCCATTATCCTGAAAATGAGAGAGAGAGTGAGAGAGTGTGCCTGCGAGAGAGAGTCCATTTCATCACGAAAGAGAGACGGTGAAAGAGAGAGAGAGAGCGTGTGTGTGTGAGTATGAGAGCCCGTGCGCGTAAGTGTACGATCGTGTGTAAATACATTATTTTAAAAGCTTGGAATTTTGATCATATAACCTACAGACATTTCAATAATTTCTTAACAAGTCTGCAATCATTTTTAAACAATCAGCGCATGCTATTTTTTTTTTTTTTTCATCTCCCCTTTTCCTGTAGGGTTAATCACAACTTTGTTGAATCCTAAATTTCGGGTAAAACCATTCATCGGCCCCTGCTTCTTTTCTCCCCTTTTTATAAATTGTGATTTTTTGCTAACCGCGGGTGGTGTCCCTTGTTTGAACACCGAGCGCGCGCCTAATCTCTGACGTAAGCACCTCCATTATTTAATGCCGCGCTACCCGACATACCCTGCGCAGAAACCAGAAACGGTCCAGAAATCCCAGCGAAGCCAAAACCTCTTCTTTCTTCACCGAGGATATGGAAGGGTAAATTTATATTTCATTAATTTAAAATAGGTTTTGTTTCGTTTCAGAACGTTTGATCGAATGATGTTTTTTTTTAAATGCCCTTATTTTATGCTAAACATTCTTGTGGAGCATTCTCACTAACTTATTGGTGATTTTTGTCCCCATTATATTAGAGAACTATTTATTCCTTTTTGTTTAAAATGTCAGCATCTTTTTTTTAAAAAATATTTGTGTTAAATGGGAAACGTATAAAACAGGAAAATATTTTCAATATGAAGTAATGAATTGAATTGAATATTTATTTGGCGCTTGTGTCCATGCTACCCTAGCACGCTCACAGCGCTCTGATGTTCTTAAATCTATTAAAATTTTAAAAAAAAGTCTTTAAATGTTTCTTAAATGATTTTTTAAATAATTTCCAATGTCCCTCAAAGATTGGGGCAAACTGTTCAATAATTTTGGCGCTATCGCTTCAAAAAAGAGCTTTCCGTATGACTTTTCTGTGTCCATCCATACTGGGAAATCTCAGTAAGGAGCTCAAACATATTTACCCTAATCTCCCGCTTTCCCGTTTGGGAATTTAAGAAAATTTATGAGCGTTATAAAAAATAACCGAGTGCAAATGCCTTGCATTGCAAAGACCTATATTGCTACGACTTGCATTGCTGCCTTGCATTGCTAAGACCTATATTGCTACGACTTGCATTGCTGCCTTGCATTGCAAAGACCTATATTGCTACGACTTGCATTGCTGCCTTGCATTGCAAAGACCTATATTGCTACGACTTGCATTGCTGCCTTGCATTGCAAAGACCTATATTGCTACGACTTGCATTGCTGCCTTGCATTGCAAAGACCTATATTGCTACGACTTGCATTGCTGCCTTGCATTGCTAAGACCTATATTGCTACGACTTGCATTGCTGCCTTGCATTGCAAAGACCTATATTGCTACGACTTGCATTTGCCTTGCATTGCAAAGACCTATATTGCTACGACTTGCATTGCTGCCTTGCATTGCTAAGACCTATATTGCTACGACTTGCATTGCTGCCTTGCATTGCAAAGACCTATATTGCTACGACTTGCATTGCTGCCTTGCATTGCAAAGACCTATATTGCTACGACTTGCATTGCTGCCTTGCATTGCTAAGACCTATATTGCTACGACTTGCATTGCAGCCTTGCATTGCTAAGACCTATATTGCTACGACTTGCATTGCAGCCTTGCATTGCTAAGACCTATATTGCTACGACTTGCATTGCTGCCTTGCATTGCAAAGACCTATATTGCTACGACTTGCATTGCTGCCTTGCATTGCAAAGACCTATATTGAGATGACCCACATTGATGTCTTACATTGCAATGACTTAAATTGTAATGAATTACATTGTTATGACTGATAGTGCTATGACTTAAATTTTCATGACATACATCATTTTGAATTCATTTGCTATGACTTTCATTACTCATTTCCATGACTTACATGTTTATGACTTACATTGTTAGGACTTACATTGCCATAACTTACATTGCTATGACTTACATTGTTATGACTTACATTGTTATGAATTACATTGATATTACTTACATTGTTAGGACGTACATTGCTATGACTTACATTTCTACAAATTAAAATTGATATGACTTACATTGGTATGACTGACATTTCTATGAATTACAATTGCTATGACTTACATTGGTATGACTTACATTTCTATGAATTAACATTGCTATGAATTAACATTGCTATGACTTACATTGGTATGACTAACATTGCTATGACGTACATTGCTATGACTTACATTGCTATGACTTATATTGCTATGACTTACATTGCTATAACTTACATTGTTAAGACTTACATTGCTATGACTTACATTGTTAGGACTTACATTGCTTGACTTACATTGTTATGACTTACATTTTAATGACTAAAATTGCTACGACTTACTTTGTTATGACTTACATTGTCATGACTTACATTACTATTACTGACATTGTTATGAGTACATTGTCATGACTTACATTGTTATGAATTACATTGGTATGACTTACATTGCTTTGACTTTCATTGTTATGACTTACATTGCTATAACTTATATTGCTATTACTGACATTGTTATTACTACATTGTCATTTCTTACATGACTGACATTGTTATGACTACATTGATATGACTTACATTGCTATGACTTAACTTTTTATGAATTACAATGTTATGACTGATATTGCTTTAACTGAAATTTTCATGGCTTACATCATTTTGAATTACTTTGCTATGACTTACATTGTTAGGACTTACATTGTTATAATGAACATCACTATGACTAACATTGTAAGGACTTACATTGGTATGACTTACATTGATCTGACTTACATTGTTATCATTTTCATTGTTATGCCTTACATTGCTATTACTTACATTGTTAGTACTTACATTGTTATGATTTACATAGCTATGACTAATATTGTTAGCACTTACATTGGTATGACCTGCATTGTTATGACTTACATTGCTATTACTTGCAATGCTTTGAATTTTACTGTTGTAGCTTACTTTGCTTAATTTTAAAACTTTTTTCTTGTTTAGATTCACTGACGGAAATAAAATGATACTAACATCAGTGATTGTGTTGTTCATCCTGTCGGTGACAATAGAAGCAACTACAGAAGACGATCCATTTCTCGAAGGTCAGTTTTTAAAAATTACAATTTCCCACAATTTTAGTAATTTACTTGTACTTTAAACGGGGCAAAAGCACGTTTATGTGACGCAATGCAGGTTCTATGATTACAATGTCAAGAATTTCTATACGGAAGTGTCACAATTATAAAGTTTTAATGACGCAAGTTTTATATAAGAAGTTCTGTAATCATGATGACGAAACATATCATAATAATGGCCACACACTTAATTCGAAACAAATAAATGATCATTTTTTAAAATTTTAATTTCATTGTGGCGTAGCTAGGGTTTGTGACTCCCTAGACCAGCGGCTCTCAACCATTTTAGGGGATGAACGCCCTTAAATCATGGGTCGCCTAAGACCATTGGAAAGCACATATTTTATGAAGTAGCACTGAGAATTATTTTATGGTTAGGGGTCATCACAACATGAGGAACTGAATAAAAGGGTTCGCGGCATTACAAAGATTGAGAACCTCTGCCCCAGATGTCACTTTACTTTTCGCCTCCCTCATGCAGGAAAACCAGAGATCATACAGAATGCATATCCAACCTGGCCATATACGGTATAGTCATCGAACCGAAAACACTTTATAAAGCCTCACCAGGTTTGGACTCCCTTGAATTCCCACTTTTTTCTTCTTAATAATCTTATTATTATTTAATTTTTCTCAGCGGTGTTCATGGTCGAGGACTACAAGAGCTCTGACCACTTGACGTTGGTCTGTCCAGCCACCCAAAACGACGAGGTCGACCTGTTTATCTCTAAATCTCATACGTATCTGAACTTTTCAAGGCTGGTAACATTTAGGCCAGGCGTCCCTTGCCAAGTCATGAAGCCGTGTAAGGATAGCATCCCCTTACAATGCTCGTATTGCGGAGACAACCCCAAAGAGAAGCAAGTCTTCGCGGCCGTCTCCAGACAATCCACCAATCTTGAGGCGTACAAGTGCCACTATCTAAAAACGAACGGGGATCAATTGTATTTGCTTGTTGGTAAGTTTGGTAATATTTTTTAGTGATACCATCTACCCATGAAATTTTGAGCACACTGTTGGCATTTCATAACAACACATGTCAACTCCTATGTCACTGTTTAAACAACAATCGGTTGTCGCAAAATAGATATTATATTTTTTTTAAATTTGGAAACAAAGTGGCAATGGACGAGGCTCTTGGGGGCGCTCTTTGACAACAAAGGGACAACAGATGAGGCTCCTAGCGGCATTCCTTGGCCAGAAAGCGGCAATGGACGAAGCTCTTGACGCTCCTTGATAGGATATTGAGAAAATCCTGCGTTTCTAATGTATGAGGAGATGTCCCGTCTCTCACTCGTAGTTAATATAGTACAATAAATTAGAATAAGTATCATAACCGATTTGCGCACGTAAAGATAGAACCAGTCCAACCCATGTGCCCATCAACAGATAGAACCAGTCCAACCCATGTGCCCATCAACAGATAGAACCAGTCCAAACCATGTGCCCACCAACAGATAGAACCAGTCCAACCCATGTGCCCACCAACAGATAGAACCAGTCCAACCCATGTGCCCACCAACAGATAGAACCAGTCCAAACCATGTGCCCACCAACAGATAGAACCAGTCCAACCCATGTGCCCACCAACACATAGAACCAGCCCAACCCATTGCCCACCAACAGATAGAACCAATCCAACCCATGTGCCCACCAACAAATAGAAGCAGTCCAACCCATGTGCCCTCCAACAAATAGAACCAGTCCAAACAATGTGCCCACCAACAAATAGAAGCAGTCCAACCCATGTGCCCTCCAACAAATAGAACCAGTCCAAACCATGTGCCCACCAACAGATAGAACCAATCCAACCCATGTGCCCACCAACAAATAGAACCAGTCCAACCCATGTGCCCACCAACAGATAGAAACAATCCACCCATCAGTACACCAAAAGATAGAACCAGACATAGCTTGACCGATCTATAAACCCAAATATTGAAACAGCCCCGGCAATCATTGACCTGCGTACCCACTGAATGAGCCAATCCCCACTGACCTCCACCCCCAAAGATAGAGGCAATCGCCACTAACCTCCACCCCCACAGATAGAGGCAATCGCCTCTGACCTCCACCCCCACAGATAGAGGCAATTGCTCCTGACCTGCAGCCCCACAGAATGAGCGAGTCCACACTGACCTCCACCCCCTCAGACAGAGGCAATCGCCACTGACTTGCAGCCCCACAGAATGATTCAGTTCCCATAGACCTCCACCCCCACAGATAGAGGCAATCGCCACTAACCTACAGTCGCATAGAATGAGCCAGTCCCCGCTGACCTTCACCCTCACAGATTGAGGCAATCACCAATGACCTGCAGCCCCACAGAATGAGCCAATCCCCACTGACCTCCACCCCCAACGATAGAGGGAATAGCCACTGACCTCTACCCCCACATATAGAGGCAATCGCCACTGACATGCAGGCCCACAGAATGAGCCAGTCTCCACTGACTTCCACCCCCACACATAGAGGCAATCGCCACTGACCTCCACCCCCACAGATAGAGGCAATCGCCACTGACCTGCAGCCCCACAGAATGAGTCAGCCCCCATTGACCTGCTCCCCCACTGATAGAGGCACTCACCGGTGACCTGCACCTCCACAGATAGAACTGGCCCCAGCAATCACCAATCCACGCTCCCACAGATTGAACTAACAAAGATCAAACAATTGATTACTATTTTCAAACTGATCTAATTTCATATGACCAGCTAGGGTGATTAAATTTTTTTTTAAAAAGCTTGTTTCTTTGTAGATTAAATAATTTTTTCTCTGATCATTGAAATTTGATGTTGCGACATTTTAGTGTTGACATTCATCGCCAATGTGGCTCACAATGTATTTCAGTCAATATAATCTTCACTGGTTGTACTTTGTAAGAGATGAACGTAGTCAAAGAAATTGGGTTTTTAAGATACGATTATGTTTAGTTTTTTTAATTCAAAGGTTTTAGTTGCCAATTCTGGCAATAACATAATTGTGATGAACATCTTTGGAATTAAAGAATTGTATTTTCCTGTATTGGCTGATTAGTTAGCTCGTATGGGATTTTATTTATGAAAAAAAGATGTGACATTCTCTCTTTACAAAATGGGTAGGTTCATTTTGCCCAAGGCAATACTAGAATAAATAACCCGATGTTTTCGGAGGTAGGAGATAAGATGTGTATAGTTTTATAAATACATGTCGGAGGTAGGAGATAAGATGTGTATAATTTTATAAATACATGTCGGAGGTAGGAGATAAAATGTGTATAGTTTTAGGTGGATGACAACATCGTTAATTCCTATGGTATTCCCTTTTAAATAAAAAGAGATGTTACATTCTCTGTTTACAAATATGGGTAATTTCATTTTGCCCATGGCAATACAAGATACGCATCAAAATAAGATAATGAATTTGATCAATAATTAACCTCCTTGGGTACATTCATATCGGTGGTAGGAAAAAGGATGTGTACATTTTTACGTGGATGACAATATATTTAAATCCTATGGTATTACATTTGTGAAAAAAGAGATTTTTAATTCTCTTTTTACAACTAAACAAATGTTTAACAATAAAGAAAATCAATGGCGTTACATGTATATAACCATACTCTTAAATATGTAAACCCAATCATTTCACACACATGAAAGAGTAATTTTGAAAATTAGAGATGGGTTAATATTTACTTTCAAAGAATGAAATTATAATTTTGATTTTACTTTGCAAAAAGTAAAGAGGTGTGTATTTTATGAGATAAAGAATTCAATTTTTTTTTAAAAGATACTCAAGTGTGTTTCAGGCGCGAAAAATGGTTGCGAGATTCGTCTTTAGATAAAAATAATTCTTTGTTTTACGAGTCTCTGATAATATATAAATTTTTTAAAGGCATAAATATGTTTACATTTTTGATGGAGATATCAATACATATTGAATTCCTGTCATATAAAATATACTTAATATCATGTATATAGTTTTTGATGTAAATTTAAGATTAGTTTTTTAAAACAATTTTTTGAGAAAAAAAGTTGTAATTCAAGGGCACGAAAAGGGGTAACTCTTAAGTATTTCTCTAAGATAGTAAATCTCCCTCAATTAACTCCTTTAGTGACAAAATTGATATAAGTAGTGATAAGTTAGACTGGGTGTTTTAATGTCATGTTTAGAGGGGGGGGGGAGTAGTTTAGGAGCGTGAAAGGGAGTAAGGTAGTCTTATGTTATATAGCAGATAAATACTTCTCAAAACTTAATGATGTTAGAAATGTAAATAGCATTATTTATTTAAAGTTATGAATTGTAATAATTTTTTGCAATCGCGCTTAGAAATTTACGCAAAGGACCTATCATTTCTAGTGTTAAAATAATATTCTTTACATTGTGTTGTCTAGAGAAGACCACAACTGAAACTAATGTCTACAAGATTTCGGCAATCGCATTGTCCTGCATCCTGGGCTGTTTTCTCCTCGGAGTGTGTGCAGTTTTGGTCAAGCGTTGCCGTGCAGGTCAAGGAAGTTTTTTTTCTCTCTTTCAAAAAATCTTACCTCTTCTCTAGTCGTAGCATTATCTTACTCTATACCACTTACATTTTAATATCGGTAAAATGCAAAGACTCATTTTCTTTGTTTTATGATATATTTTATCAATACTTGGTTAGAATATAATGTAATGCATACGAATTGTTTTTTAACCAGGTAACTATTCATTAGTCGGGACTAACCTCTGTTGGCTTAACAAGACAAGGACAGAGGACTCGGTGTAAGTTGATTTATAACTAATACACTAATCTTTATTATCTAATTACAACTAGCTGAACTGTCCGTTCTACGCCCGGAACGAGGATATTTTGATGGACACATCATGATAAAGCAACGGTGGGACGTACGGTAAACAATCGGCCAAGTCAGTTTCATGTCCTCTAAGACGTGGTTTCCATTTTGAATTTTTGTCATCCCAAGTTTAACGGCGTTCGGGTATTTCCATATGCAAACAATCTTGAGAATCAGGGCCTTCCTGAGAAACTGGTTAAAGTCCCCAATCACGGAAGACAAAAGCATATCATTACCATTGAAGCTGGGACACATTTTATCGTCCAAAAACTTTGTTTGAATCCGTGGTCTACCCTTATGGGAAAGCTAGGGGTAACACATTGGATCACAGAGTCAACCAAGGACGGGTATATTTGTAAAATTCCGGTGTGTCTGATGATTTGTACTTTCTCGAATTCCCGATGTTGCACCATCTTGCACCATCTGCACTGTAAAAAAACAACCGCTGTAATTTCCCCTTTAATATTGGGAGCCTTTGTTCTGCTGTGGTGCTCATTATATACTTCTTCCTCAAGAAGTTCATGCTATCATCAGTTGGCTGTCGCTTTTCCAGATGTGCCTTTACTAAGCCGTCTTGTTATAATTTAGCATCTCATGCCCGAAAACAGTCACCGATACAAACTAAATATAAACAACTGCACAATTAACCCCCACACTATGTACGCACACTTAAAAATAATTACACAGATCTACAACGATGGCGGACCGACTACCTACGGCCAGTGGCGGAGCTAGGGTTGGCGTCACCCGGTGCGGTCCGCACCCCCCGAACCCCTCTAGCGACGCCACGACCTACAGCGTTGAATATAAGATATCAGCGGTGAAAATATCTGGAAAAACACACACAAGTTATGCTTGAATAGCATTGGATGTTGAAGAGTGATACACACTGCCCGCTTTATGACAGATCAACATTTATGATTTCGTGGCGGTATTTTTTTTTGTGTGTTAATAGCACAATACTTGCCAAGGTCAGCACCAACCCCACAATAGTTGGCAAGGTCGCCACACAACAGTACAGTTTTATAAACTGACTTTAAAAGAAATATAATTAGCCTAGGTGTAACTAAAAAAAAATTGTTTAAAGCATACAGGGATCTTTTGAACATGGAATTTTTTTAATCTCTTGTATAATAAGTGGTTGAAGTTCAATTAAAATTCTTTTTTCTCCCATCAAAAGTATGTCAGCTTTTTCCCACTGAATGTCGCTCTGTCCTATAAAAATTGAAATACAGGAAAAAGATTGTTGTGTTATATCAGAAAAGATTCTTTACTTAAACATGGCCTCATTAAACTTTCCTTTCACACCAGACGTCAGCTTTTTCTGAGCTGGAGTTTAGGTTGTACACATGGAAACATTGCCAGAGAGAAGGAGTATTTATTTTTACAACTCTGTATCATCGTCACGTCTAATTATGGTATTGATATCTTTTAGGATAACAAGTGATGATTCTGTGATTCAATCTCAACGCTCTCGGAGATACACCAACGGTAAGCAAGGATCTTAACCCCCGACCCCCGCCCAACATCTCTTAATAAATGTTGTCATTGAAACGTCGCCATATTTTCCATCAGTTGATTACGATTGTACCATTTAACCCGAAGGTTTGAGCTGGGCTCACAGGGATGTTGTTCGTCCTTCGTATTCGAAAATGACCAAGGCTATATTAAACGATGAGTACGCAGGAGGCCTGTCAGTATCTTTTTGTATCTTAAAAGCTTTCCCGCACCTGAGACACACGTTGTTTTGGTTCCTTGTAGGATATGACGTGATTTGGCTTTTTCGTGCCACGCACTATCTTTGGGCAGTGCGCTTATACTCAAAGGATTTTGTCCGACAGTGAGTCTTTCAAGCCAGCTACACTGTCCGCGACAAGGTCAATATGCATGGATTTAATTGAAGTTTTTAAACAAGCCTTGGAGAGATTTGTCTGCCCATCAACTAGCGTTCCCCGCTAGATTCTGCTCTCTGGCTTTGTTGTGACACGCCCTGGCCATATGGCTTGTACTTTATGTAGGAGTGGGTGGATTATGATACAAAAGTCCCGTTGTAGAACCTATCTTCTGCCATCTTATAAGAAGAAGTTTCCGCATGTAGCTTAGGTGGGTAGGGTTTAGCTGTTCGGCACGTCTCGCCAGCATATAGTAGTGACACTATTACGATTGCCCTGTATACCTTCAGCTAAGGTGACAGACTGAGACCCCTTCCGTTGCACAATAGTGTTGACAGGAACAAAAACAAATTAATTTCAGGTCACGAGGTAAATGTATTTAAGAACTGTGTTACGCACTGACTTGTATTGGGAGAAATTAATCTCCTAGTTTAATTTTAATTGGCTCGGACTAAACAGTGCCTAACAAAGGACGATACCATAGAATCAACAATATTAAAGATACGACCCAAAACAGTTTCTAGTTAAAATTAATAAGATTTATTAAGTCTAAAGATAATAACAAAAGAAAAGAAAATATAATTACAATCTTCAACTTACAGTATGGTAGATCTTGTACCGGTACACAGTTAACACAGTTAGAATAATGTGCCAATAAATAATGCGAAATAAACACATATGAGCACACAAATACACAAAGAATAAAACACGCCTCGTAATGTTAATATCTATCTGAATCTCCGTCCCTTCGTATCTGTCAATCTTTTATATACATGTAGCGTAAGACGCTTCCAGAAGGACCTATGACGTGTTGTTTACATATCTCGGGTTAAAGAGTACATTCGAGAAGTTACCCGGAAACATTCTACCCAATGCGTAATTGGAAGCCGATTGTAAACAAGCTACATCAAAGAGATTTAGCCCCGCCCACAACAGACGTTACTGTCTGCTAGGAGAGTACTACGAGGTCGAGGAAAGTTCACGCACAGGAAATCGTGCTACATAACAACTGTAACAACGTTAAAGTTATAGTTATTTTTATATTACAATCACTTTACATTTGAAAATTTCCTTTACTCGTCTTTAAATCTGCAAACCTGTCAATCACTTGATCAAAATCAACACCCTTCACTAAATATCTTTCAACTGATTATAGTAGCTAACAGCCCCTAAAACATCTGCTACTTCCTTGATCGCAGCGGGTTGGAGTTCAGAATGAAAGCGATCAATGCACTTCAGATTCTCCCTATTGTTTTCTTCTTGCAGCATCTATTTATTGTTCTTCAGTCATTCTCTTTTTAAAATTTAATCTTTTCTCTAACGAAATTCTCCATTGGTCTGATTTTAAAAGTGCCTTCTAAATACCATGTTCCACTACGCGACAGCACTTCTTGTAGAGAAACAATCTAAAGGCCTCTAGGTTGGTCTGCACGTTTGTAAGAGCAAAGCATTGAATCTGCAGATACTGCCAGCTACTGCGGTCCGCACCCCGCTAGCTATACGCCGCTGCTTTCCTTCAAGCACTAATTTAAACTTTTACCCTTGATTATTACCACATACATTTTTATTAGAAGACCAAACTACGATAAGTAAGCCACTAATCCTGTACTATAAACTCTAACTCTGATAAGTAGTCAGCATCTCATTGTTATCATCATGCCCCTTAGTCCTTGGACCGTTGGGACACCACAGATGACAAGAAAACTATCCTCCTCCATTCTTCTCTGTTTTCTGCACTTAGCAAAGCATCGCATTGCTTTAGTCTGGCCAACTCTTTGATGTTATCTTCCCATCTTGTTCTCTGTCTTCCTCTTTCTCCCTCCTCTCGTTGTCCCCTGCATGATTTCTTTGGCGAATCTTTGTTTTCTTATCACGTGTCTCCTATTTTAAATTTATGACTCGTTCAAACAGTGCCTAGCAAAGGACGATACCATGTAGAAATGCAATAATAAAGATACGACACGCAAAAACTGTTGCCAGTTACGATTAATAAGATTAAATTTGTAGTAATACAATAACAAAACAAAATAAACATAATTACAAATTATCAACTTACAGAGTATGGGAAAATCTTGTACCGGTACACAATTAGTACAATGTGCCAATTAATAATGAAGAATGACGAATGCGAATAAACACATGAGAACACACAAAGAATAATACAATTGTCTCGTATAGTTAATAATCTCTCTCTCTCTCTCTCTCTCTCTCTCTCTCTCCCTCTCCCTCTCTCCCTCTCCCCTCCCCCTCCCCCTCCACCTCCCCCTCTCTCTCTCTCTCTCTCTACCTGTCAATCCCTTATATATGTGGTTTAATCCCTGCCTTCCAGAAGTTACTCAGCATTTGTTTACGTTTCTAGAACAACTCGAGATTATTGGACAAGATACTAGGAGACAGTCTAACTATGCTTATTTGGTAAACACGACAGATCGAAAGAACTAGCCCCACCCATCTATGAACCGAGCGTCTGCTTAGGAATCTAATTTAAGGTCAAGCAAAGTTCACGCACGGGGAAATCGTGTAAAAGTTATGCATAACGGTGGCCATGCCATTCCCGTTTGCGCTTCTTTACAGTACACAGGAGGTCATCATACTGCCAATTGCTTGAAGAATCCATTTTCTTCCTTTATAGCAGCATCTAACTATGATTTAACTATAACACTCTAAGCCAATTAAAATTTGTTTTAAAAAGTTTATCTATCTTTTACAGAAGACGTTAGCTATATGGATACCTGCTTCTCGGAGATCGCAACTTCTGAGAACGGCCCAAACACCCAGTAATAGTGCAAGCAGGTGGCGCCAGATGAGACCAACGACACAACAACAAAATGGCGAGTGAGAGTGTCAACATAAGACGACATTGGAGTTTGTGGACCAACTTATTTTTGTTTAATTAGGCTGATCGGTTATATTTTATTGTATTTCTTGAAATCTTGCAAATTAGCTCAAAAATATAGATTATGGACTTAAATATTACTTGATGTAATTGAAACGGAATATGTTGAAAAAATCTAGTGACATTGAAAATAATGTCAGTTATCACTTTAAGGCTGAAGATGAAAAAAAACATGCAACATCATTTATTGATGTTTGGGGGAAAAGTTGATTTCATATTTATTGTGTAACGCCCCCCAAAATTGTTTTGTTTTTCCCTTTCATTTTTCATTGAAATTTAACTAAGAATGTTGATTACATCAAGAGTGAACTTGCTTTGCAGAAGTAATTACAATACATCCTTGTCGAAATATTCTTGTCAATCTATCCTTGTCATATTATCGTTTTCATATTATCGTTGTCAAATTATCTTTCTCAAATTATCCCTGTCAACAATAATTTGTCAAAGTATCCTTGTCAATGTATCCTTGTCAAACTATCCTTGTCAATTATCTTTGTCAAAATATCCTTGTCAACATGTCCTTGTCAAATTATTTTAATCAAATTATCCTTGTAGGCCATACTTTTTCAAATTATCCATTCCAACCTATCCTTGTCAACGTATCCTTGTCAAATTATCCTTGTCAAATTATTCGTCTCCCTTTTTCCTTTTTAATCTATCCTTGTCAACCCATCCTTGTCAAATTATCTTTGTCAAATTATCCTTTTAAAATTTTCCTCTGTCAAACTATTCTTGTTAAATTATCCTTGTCAAATGATCCCTGTCAACAATGTTTTGTCAACTTATCCTATCCAAATAATCATTTTAAACAATACTTTACTTTATCAAATTATCCTTGTAAACTTTCCTTGTCAACTTTCCTTGTTAACTTATCCTTGTCAACCTATCCTTGTCAACCTATTCTTGTCAAACTATCCTTGTCAAACTATCCTTGTTAAGCTATCCTTGTCAACTTATCCTTCTCAAATTATCCTTGTCATTCCAACCATAAATATAATCCTAATTTTTTAAAAATCATATTGTGATTATTTTGATTATATTATTAGATGTGTAAATCGTGTATTCCCTATCAATTTGAATAATTTTACTAAAATAGATGTTTCTGTATTGGTAGTAAACCATAAGGACTTGTTATGGACTGTTCGAAATGCTAATTGTAGCTTTTTAAATTGATACAAAATCTTTGAAAAATAAGTGTAAACCAATAATGTTACAGGTGTTTAATCTTTCTTAATCAAGTCAAATCGACAACAGTTAAAAAGTTATATTGGGAGCAGTTACAGAGTTACATTAGTTAACTGAGTGTAGACAATTTCTTGGAAAGATTTTATCATTTGAGGAAGACAGCTTTGTAAATATTTCCTTCTAATTTTTTTGCATTTCATGTTAAATTCTACAAATTTAAAAAATATATATATGTATTTTTATTTAATGTAACTAGGATGCGGAATGACTCACAAAATGATAATAACCATAATAAAATAGTGGTTTTGTTTTGAAAGTAAAAGATCTTTAACCATATATAGCCTTATAAATGTATTTGGTATTAACGAGTTAACTCCCTTTCTCAGCATAATCAGGAAAAAGAATACTAGTGTGACTCACCAAAAGCCAGAAGTGGCCTTATAAATATTATGTAAGTGAATAACGAATCATTTTTTTAAAAGCAAATTGTAATAAATAATTTAGTATCAAATTTTCTGCAATCCAGAGGATGAATATGTGCTTTAAGCAGAAGATTGTCAAGACAGAAGAGCTTTAACCAACTCATAGAGCGAACGTAGAGCCATCCCACAAATTATGAGAACAGATCTCAATGACAAATGGACTCCCATTGAATAGTGTTGATTGTCAATGTGTTTTAATTAGTTATACTTAAATTATTCAATGCTAATACATTGTACTAGGCACTCAATCTTGCAATGTAAGTCTTGACTAAGCACTAGAAACCCTATTGTGGAATATAAGCTTTGTATAATATGCAAAGGACACCCAATTGTGGAATGTAAGTCCTGTATTTATCATTTAGCCACCTAATTATGGAATGTAAGTCTTGCGAGGACTATGCACTAGACACCCAATTGTGGGATCAATTTCATTAGCAGCATTTATTTTCATGAGTGCACCAATGGTTCAATTTTACATTCAAATCACAGCGCCAAATGAAACCTATTTAACCCGTCAAAACGCCTTACTTGATTCATCATGACATCATTGTTTGTAGAATATATTACAAGGGTCACACCAATATACAACATATCAGATTGCAAGTTACGGACATTTGTAATTAAGTTAAATTGTTTTATTTTTCTTTGTATAGTTCTTAATTTAAAGAGATTTTAAAAAATGGAGAGTAACTTTATCTTTGATGATCTGATTGTAAAACATTGTAGTCGGGCCATGACTGAATTTAGTTAAAAATGCAACCAACATAGATTAGTGAGACATTATAAATAAACAAACTCATTAAAAATAGGAAATGATATTGCTACATTGTTTATTGTTTCTTTATTGGTGCAGGGCATATAGCACTGGGGCTAAGTTGTAATATGTTATGTTGTGTGTGTTATATGTTAAGATGAGTTTTAATTATTTCCTTTGGCGCATTCGAATATTGGAAGGATGTTCATGAATCTCCTCATCCAAATCTTCATCAAACTCTTTACAATGTTCCATTGTTCTTGTTTCTGGTGTACAGAATTGCTTCTAACACATGTTTGTAAAACTTGATGGACTTCCTCCTTGCACCGAGATGTTAAATCCAAATTGTAGTAAGTGTTCCATCCATTGCTACTTTCATCTTGGGGTTTTATGATTGACAGGCGCCTGATGTACGTTACACTTGGGAAAAAATTGATGATACTAGGCAAACGACAGCCATGCCTAACAGGGTGGTACCTTTGGAATTGAGCAAAAAAAACAACAGCTAATATTTTATATATTTTGGCTTTTTTTTTTTTTTGTAGCGCTTACCTTACAGCTCTAAACGCTTTACAATTATTAAAAATATGTGAACTATTTAAACTGCTAAAGTAAAATAAAAAGGAAAGAACACGAGACACTAGAATAGTAACTACAATGTGAAAAATGACTATAGAAACAGTAGCTTAAACATTAAAATGGCTATAAAAACGAGTACACTTTGGCACGTTTTGGCATATACTACAGGATCAACCCGAGATAGAAAATGAGGCAGGGCAAGGAAGGTGTATCACAGGTCATAGATCAAGTTATATCGTCGTCACCACTAAAATTGACTGTTCATGCATGTACAAAAATGATGCAATATCTTGTGGACTACTCTTGTAAAGTATATAAGGAGCAGAAAGCACTGTAAATTCTCTTAACAATACGATTTACATCAGAAATACACGGATGCATAGATAAAGTTGTAACCTTTGACATTATCAATTCATGACAGTGCTTTCCAAAATGTGTGTCACTTGCATGGTGTAGGTGTGTCACTTGTAATGGTGTAGGAGTGTCGCTTGCAGGGTGTAGGTGTGTCGCTTGCATGGTGCAGGTGTGTCACTTGCAAGGGTGTAGGTATGTCATTTTCAAGGGGTAGCTGTGTCACTTGCATGGTGTAGGTGTGTCGCTTGAAGGTTGTAGATGTGTCGCTTGAAGGTTGTAGATTTGTCACCTGCAGGGTGTAGGTGTGTCACTTGCATTGTGTAGGTGTGTCACTTGAAGGATGTAGGTGTGTCACTTGCAGGGTGTAAGTGTGTCACTTGAAGGTTGTAGATGTGTCGATTGCATTGTGTAGTTGTGGCACTTGCATGGTGTAGGTGTCTCATTTGCATGGTGTAGGGTACAGTTGCGTCGCTTCCAGTGTATAGATGTTTCGCTTGTAGTGTATTTGTGTCATTTGCACTGTACAGTTGTGTCGTTAGCAGGGCACAGTTGTTTTGCTTTAAGGGTGTTGGTGTGTCACCTGCAGGGTATAGTTGTGGCAAAATAAAATTAGCCATAGCAGCATTCACGCATTTTAAGAATGTAAAAACTGCGGGACATTATATATAAAAAATGTGTGTGTTAAAGTAGTACAGCGGATACATTATATGAGAATTTATGTTTTCAACTGTGATTTTTGTAAATATTTGTCACGAAATTGCGTCAAAGTTTAAAAATCTGATACTACACAGACAAAATTGATGGCTCTGACGAAGTTGGGTGCTGTTTATGTAAACGAATTTAAGGAAAATTATAATCTCATATTTGAAAGTAAATACTGAGAATTAAATTTGTGATCTACTTTGATGCATCCATTTTCTGCACAAAAGCGAAATTTCTTGCTGATATATTTGAAAAATGTAAATAAAAAAACATTATTAAAAACAGCACGGCTTTTATAAGGGTTGTTTAACACTAACCGCGGTAAATCAAATTTGTTCTATGGGATTGTAGAAAATTATAAGATTATTACTCAGCCATTGCTGGTCTTAAGCCGGGTGCAAAATAATAATAATAATAATAAAGTTTATTAGAAAATCAAGCTTCATCCCCAAAGGCTCGAATCATATCGATGGATTTACAGACTTTAAGATTGTGACAACGCCTTTGTCAGTGAACTTTGAAAGAGAATACACTCAGTGAGACAGGAACCCCTTCCTCAATCAAGACACTAGAAGAAATACTCATTATCTCAAGTCATGGCAAAGCTCCAAGTGTTGACTCCATCCCAGCTGAATTCTACAAGAAGGAGCTGCAGTTCTGCAAGGCCACACCATCTGTTCCTACTAATGTGGTAGCAATTGACGTTCCTGCAGGATTTCAGAGATAAGGTACCGCTATCCTTCACTGCGCTCTGGTCTTATTAACTCATTCTTCTATGCACGTGAAGAGATATAGCAGAACTGGGTGATGTGGTCCTATTTCTTTATGCGCAATATTCTGGGTGATTTTTATGAGTGAAAACTTTAGCTACTAAACAATATCCAACTATCCAGCAATAACAAATTTGAGAAAAAACATTCCAAAATGAGAAACTGTGGAGAGATTTCACTGGTTCTTGCCAAGCGACTCGTGAAATTGAAGTATTTTTAATAGCATTGATTCTTTTTGTTTATATTAATTAACATATAGATAGGAAAACACAAAATAAGTCCACCAATTCTTAGTTATGTTCGAAATAAATTATATTCAAACGCCAAGGAGACTTTCAGATACGACTATGTCCACAATCA